AGGCCCATGGGACCTCTAAAATGAGTGTAAGGAAGTTTCATAGCACATATTTGAGATGAAGTAAGAAGACATGGTGACGCATGGTGAGAACATACTGATGATAAGATCTGCAGACAGTTAAGACACAGAAACGGAAGGGAAGGTGTTCAGCATCCTGTGGTCAGCTCCTCAAGGGCGTGGCAGTGGACCACATGACTTCTGCTTGATCTTCTGCTGGGATGGGCCCATAGTAACCTGGAACCTTAGGGTGACTCAGATCTTGTAACTTGGTGGGGTTAGGCAGAGGAACCTCATTAAAACCTTGGTGGCTTCAGCTGTCAGTTAGTGGGCAGGATTTGAGGTCCTTGGCCTGTGAGTCTGTGTGGATTGTTGGCTCCAGTGTACCTACCAGAAGATCAAAATTGGGATGGAGCTGTGTGGAGGGATGAGACATAGGGGCTACCCCAACTAGGATGTGGCATCCCACCCTTGGGCTGCTGATCTGGGACCTGCTGCAGAGCCTCAGGAATGTTCTTGATGGGCAGAACATACATTTATTCTAGCCACATCTTCACTGACTTTTTTATTTTCTAATATCAGGATTAGAAGTTCTACAAAAATCAAATAACATTGTATAATGCATAAAGTGGGAAAATAGAGCTATTAAAAAATGAACACTAACATATAAGCAGCCAGAAATAGCCATAGTTATATTTTGCTTTATTCGGTGTTGTTTTATTCAGGATATATTTTTTCCCCTGTAAACCCAGACACATGCATCCATTATTAAAAAGATGTTTTGGCTTATATTGTTTAGTATCTGCTTTTGTAATAATATAATCGGAACTTTTCCAAATAAGACTAATCATTTTCCTACAACAATCTTTTTAATGCCTGTAGTATAATCGCAGCACAGACATCTCATCCGTTGTTGCATTATCTATTGATATGCATTTCAGTGTTATCAACTTTTTTGGTATTAGATACAATGCTGAAACAAGTATCCTCATGTATAAAATATTTGTGTACATGCATGAATATTTCCTAAAAATAAAATTCTGGAATCAAATGATCATTCAAGAGTCAGGTAGATCGTTAAACCTTTTGATTCTTTCCTGCCAAACTCTTCTTTATGATGTTTAAACTATATTTATAAAATCTGTGTATTACAGAGTCCATTTCCCCATTAAGAATCAGCCTATTTAATTGTGAGTGGCCCAGAGTTATCGTTAGACTCTTCCACTATTGAAATCAGCAGAAACATGAAGCCACTTCAAACGTGCATACCAGGCAGGCCCAAGACACGTCATTCCCTTCTGCCAGTGTGACAGCTACTCAGCACATTGTAATAACTTGTTGGACGGTTTCTGTCTTGCAGTTTCCAAAGATTTCCGAGTTCTTGCCAACTCTGTTTGGAGTGCTTGTGCATCATGTCACTCAGATACTATCTGTCACCTGCCTCACACCTGATAGGTGTTATGGACCGTCAACCTTGTCAAGAAATGGGCTTCACTCCCCAGTGACCACTGCAGCCATTCTGAAATTTTATGTTGGCTTTACTGGTTTTGGAAAAAAGCTCCCTAAAATCTCAGACCCACTCAACAAAGACCTGCAAACCTATTGATCACCCTTGAGATCAAAAGTGCCTGCAGGAGAAAGTTAGGGTCTAGATATATAGAGATCTAGGTTCTAGGTATGATTCAGAAATGATTTCTCGTTGGTCTCAATCTTCTTCTCCTTTCTGGATATCAGTTTCTTTATCTGGAAATTCAGGGGCTGTACTAGGTGCTATTTAACTCTCCTTTCACTCCTGACATTTTATAGCTTAATGACATGCTTTCCACCAGTTCCTGGCTAGTTATCCACCTCACTTGGATCACTCACTCCTCCTCGTAATCTCTTCTTCAAATTCAGACCCTTTTTCTAATCTCTTGATAGATAGCTGTCCGTGGTTTATTTTGGGAGGAACACTATCTGAAGTTGGTGCGTGTGGTTGTATATATGTTTATATGAGGACCTGAATATTGTATCTCCCAGAGAAGACTACAGATTATCTGAGGGGAGGCACTGTGTATCCTCCTCTCCCTCTTCCTGGTATAGATAGTATCAGGCCTCCCTGCACATGATGGGTGCCCAGCAAAAGATAACATTGTCTGAGCTGAGGACTGAGCTATATGGATAATTAGGTGTGTGTGGCTACTTGAATAAATGTGCCTCTTTCTGAGTGTATGTCTGTATGTGTTGGATGTCTGGAAGGTAAAATGAATGAAGAAAACCAGAATAATTGGATTCAAGTATGTAGCAGTGATGTTTTGGGGAATAAGCAGGACCCATGGGGGCAGAGTCCTCAGGATCAGAGATGGCTTGGAGCAGGCACCATGGGACTGAGGCATGACTCAGTCCAGTGTCAAAGGAGAGCCCTGCTCCAGGTGTGGCTGCCCAAAGTGACAGGCTCTGGGTTCCATTACACAATAGCCATTGCCATTCTTGAGATGCCCCTTACATGTAATCACACACACACACACACACACACACACACACACACACACACACTCATGGAAGCACACAGTAACAGGACAGGTAGATGATGTCTACACCAACTCCTCTCTAATTGCAGGTCCTAGAACAGGAAGGGGCAGATTTACTCACTAAGACAAGCAGCCAAAAGTGGGATTAAAGTGCTTTAATAGGGACAGAGCAGGAAACAGGCATTGTTCTCATCCAGACTGACTCTTCAGGTGAGCCCTGAGCAACATAGGACCAGCAGAGCCACTCAGGCCTTCTGCATAATTCAGAGGCTCAGAGGACTCTTCAGAGTGTGCAAGGAAAAGTCTCATAGCAAATATTTTTTAGGATGCAAATAAGAGAAAGATTCTGACTGATGGTGAGAACATACTGATTACAAGGTCTACAGATAATCAAGACACAGAAGCAGAAGGGAAGAAGGTAGTCAGCATCTGGTGATCAACTCCTCAAGGGCATGGCTGTGGTCCACATTACTTCTGCTTGGTCTTCTGCTGGGCTGGGCCAGGAGTAACCTTTGAAGGAAATGGCTCAGGGACCTGAGGCTGGCCAGGCTGAGGGACTTTAGGATGGACTGGCTCAGGAAGCTTGGTGTGACCCTTCTCAGGAAACACAGGATTGCCTGGTTGAGGATGCTGAGGGTAGTATGGCTCTGAAATATCTTTTTGGCCTGGTTGAGGATGCTGGGGGTTGTATGGCTCTGGAACTTTGGTTTGGCCTGGTTGAGGATGCTGGGGGTAGTATGGCTCTGGAACCTTGGTGGGGCCAGGTTGTGGAACGTTGGTTTGGCCAGGTTGTGGAACCTTGGTGGGGCCAGGTTGTGGAACCTTGGGGGGGCATATCGCCTTGGTTATAGGAACAGATGGTTCTTGAGGTGGAGGCTGGTGGGGCTGTTTCACCTGTTGCTGCTGAAGCTGGGGAGGTGGGTTGGTGGGGCTGCTTCTGCTGGTGGGAAACTCATGGTTCAAAGGAGGCTGGACCTAAAGATAAAAAAGTTGAACCAGTGATTTGGCGGAACAATGAAAAAGACAAATTTAATGTTCAATATATCTGCTAGTATGTCCCTTCAGATATGAGAGCTTTTCTTCTCTTTCTCTCTCCCCTGAATCAATGGAAACTTTGTTGATCCCTGTGCCCTTTCAAGGAGAGAAGCTTAAAGGTGCTTTATTCTGCTCCATATGAGTGGACCCCTGGCCTAGCCTTCCTTTCTTCCTGGTGATTCTGTAAACCTACATTGGAAGCAAAACACAACATTGGCTCCCAGGATTGATCAAGTCCCCAGGATTTTAATAATTTGGGAGGATGATAAAGTCAAAAGTCTAAGATCTACCCTCTCAAGTCCACCACATAGCTCTCCTAAGAGAACTGCACACCAGCCTGCCCTGAGCCACATGATTCCACCTCTGACCCTCTGTCCACATCCTCTCCTCTGTACATGCTTTATGGAAGGCTTTCCATCCTGTTGCTATTTCCACACATGTTCACACATCCTCCCACACACTCTGTCAAATCCAAGTTACCTTCCTCATTTGCCACAGCACAATACCTGCCTTGTCCTCTCCGTTAATCACTTTCCTTGAATTATGTTTGTAAATTATGCCCATGTTCTATGTTATTTGATAGACGGTAAGTTAATGGATTAAAGAAAAAGCTATATTTTGAACATCCAAATCATCAGTGTCACAACATTTCAAAAACTCAGTAATGATTAGAAGAAGTATTAAAAGTCACTAAAAGTACCCTGGTCATGGTGTAGTCTCTATCCTGTAACTGAACAAATCATCATTACAGAAACCATTCCCCTTTTTTTATCCCAAGTTTCATAGTTACAATCTGAGTGGGAAGTCCGCAGACCTGAATGTCACCTTAAACACAAATTACCATTGCATTTAAAGTAAATATATTTAGCATGACAAACAGACTCCAAACAAATAAAATACAATTGGGCACATCTTAGAAGTTACAGCTAGAGAGACTTACCTGGTGCAGAGAAAAGTTCAAGCTGTCTGGCCTCTTGGGTCTGGTGTGGAATCTCTGGCCAGCTAGCATTTTATACAGAATATGAGCCCTGCCTTAAGGAAGTGGAAGTTTTTTTGGACTGCTCTATCTTTATTCAAGCTTTTGTAATGAAAATCTCTGGCTTAACATTTTTTGGCACTTACTCTTTGACAAAAATATCACCTTGGGCTTGGTCCCACTGTCTACCCTTTGCGATGAGGTTGGTATGGATAACAGGATTCCTGGGTGGTGATGAGTTATGTCAGGGGGAAGTTCTGGGTTCTGGGACCAGGAACAAGTGTGTTTCTTGGATAGAAACCTGGTCTTTAGCTCAGATTAATTCTATTGAGTACTTTAATTTTCTAAGCGGATGTGGAGATGAACAATAGGCACTACTGGTTCTTCTGGGAGGTTCCAAAGAATAGTAGGTGAATCACCTGATCTTTACTTAAGTGACTATTCAGTACGTGACAATAAGTGAACAATATGCTGTTCCATTTCTTAGCAGATCCAGCCCTTTGCGAGGAAAGGAAAGGCTGAAATGCCTGCTTTAGAAATGAACTGTTTTTACTCTGGTGAGAGACTTAAGATGCCATGTTGACCAAGGACAGTAGATGTCATTGGGGAAGGAGATCCAGGACTAACTGGGTCTGTTCAACATGATGCACAGCCCTGAAGACCTTGCCTCTCATGGGTTCTCTTTTATCATACACCAGTCATGTCCTCAGATCATGGTAAGATGAAACAGAGGTCACTAACCCCGAGTTGACCTCAACATGCAATCTTGTGCTAGGTGTGCCCCTGGGGAAATCCAAACAGCCTTAAAACTCAAGTATGTGAGTGGCTCCTCCCTTCCCACTTCTTTACCCCTGTGTTACCTACCATGAACCTGAACCCTTAGGCAGAGCCAACGCTATGAAGTCCTTCCATCAGTTCCCAAAGGTCTATTTGCACTTTATCCTCACGCCAGTCCGGTAGATGTTCAGTCAATGGGCAATTGTCATTTTCCCTGATGGATGTGTAGTTTTGTGGAAGGAAGGAAGGAAGGAAGGAAGGAAGGAAGGAAGGAAGGAAGGAAGGAAGGAAGGAAGGGAGGAAGGAAGGAAAGAAAAATCATTGTTTTAGAGAGGTGTCTATAAATTGCTTTGATAATCATAAAGCCACTACTTGGAAATGACTCACTTTCTTATGACAGGTCTCATGATATAATCTGAGAAGAGGGTGAGAGCTCATCACCCTCTTCCTCTGTTTCCTTTCCCACCCATCTTCTTCTCTCTCTGCTAGTGTTGGACTAGTCACCTACCTCTGGGATGGTGCCAGTGCCACCATGATACCTAAACTCTACTTCCTGGTATCACATTAGCTCTCCTCTGGGGTTGGGTCCAGGTCCAAAACCATCTCTCAGGATCCCCTAGCAGAAGGAGCTTTGACCAGACTCTGCTGTTTCACCTGGGATTCTTATCTCCTGAGGTACCTACTCCTCTGTACGAATCTGGGTCTTTCTCGTGTCCTATCTTGATTCTGGACTTTGGTTCTAGAAGAAAGGCCTTTCTCATTTCCTATTTTTCTTTCCTGGGTGGGCTTTCTCCTGCCCTGTCCTGATATCTTGTTCACTCTTATAAAAGCCTCTCTGGCATCAGCCTCTAGGACTTCTCATTTTACCCAATCCTGTTGTTCCTTTTTGTTTGGACAACATACTCAGTGCCTGGGTGTTAAGGCTCTTTCTGCCCTTCAGAGAAGCCTGGTTTGTTCACCAGTGTGCATGCACTAAGGAGACTAACCCCCATTGCAGAGTGTGAATCACATCACTTCTGATAGAGAGTCCTGCTTCCAGAGGTGCCTTGACCTTTCCTGGCACCTCTTTCCCCATATCAATGGCCTAGGCCAGTGATGGCGAACATTTTGAGCTCGGTGTGTCAGCATTTTGAAAAACCCTAACTTAACTCTGGTGCTGTGTCACATATAGAAATGTTTTTGATATTTGCAACCATTGTAAAACATAGATTTTTGATATTTATTTTATATATTTAAATGCCATTTAACAAAGAAAAATCAACCAAAAAAATGAGTTCATAGGTTCGCCATCACTGGCCTAGGCCTTGCTTGAGACCTGAATGTGGACGATATTGGGTAACTTTAAAAGTTTCTGGGCCTTGCTCTTTTGTCATGACTGTGTAGACTGTTCCCACATAATTCCTTGGACTCTTTCTTTTCTTGAGCCTATGTTCCAGCATGGTAACAGCCTGCAGCCCAGTGGGAACTCCCTTACTGAACAGTTCTCATCTAGACCAGATACTGTCTTCTGTTTTCTTCAGCACACATGGAGACTCAAGATGCTGCTGGGGCCGAGGAAACCAAGACCCACCCATGCAGAGAACCAAATGTGCATTTCTTTTTTTTAAAAATATATTTTATTGATTTTTTACAGAGAGGAAGGGAGAGGGATAGAGAGTAAGAAACATCGATCAGCTGCCTCCTGCACACTCCCTACTGGGGATGTGCCCGCAGCCAAGGTACATGCCCTTGACCGGAATCGAACCCGGGACCCTTGAGTCCGAAGGCCAATGCTCTATCCACTGAGCCAAACCGGTTAGGGCCAAATGTGCATTTCTTTATCTGCACAGGGGATGCCTGCATCTAAGCCAGCAACATGCAGTTTATCTCCTGTGTGTAGTTTGTGCCTCAAATTCCCCACACAGACACGGTATCCTACCCTCTGCTATTGGCTGGGTGAATGGCATTCTACAAATAGAGAGAAAGGAGCTGAGGCAAGAGGAGGAGCTCAGACCGGTCGGAGAACTCTACCTCTGCCAGATAAGCTTGAGGTCACAGGTTCAAAGGCAATGGGCAAGACTGGAATCCTTGGTTGTGAGTGCAGTGGAGGGAGTGGTGTTCTGGGGGATTTTTCACAAAAAGATTTAGAATTGTATTGGGGTTTATATGGGATATCATTTTTTAAAAGACTTCACTGTGATCCTCTCCCCACCCTTTGGGGCCGCTGGCCTGGAAACTTGCTGCAGGACTCAGGAAGTTTCCAGAATAAAAGTTCTGGAATAAATGTTTCCTCTACCTCATCAACATCTTGGAGTGCTTTAATTTTTTAAAATATGTAAAATAAGTGTTATCAATAAAAATATTTTTTTTATTGCTAAAAGTATTACAAAGGGTATTACATATGTGTCCTTCCCCCCCTCCCCTTGACAATCCCCTGGCCTCCCTTACCCCCCAGTGTCTTATGTCCATTGGTTATGCTTATATGCATGCATACAAGTCCTTCGGTTGATCTCTTACCCCCCTCCCTCCTGCCCCCCAACCCTCCCTGGCCTTCCCGCTGCAGTTTGACAATCAGTTTGAGGCAGCTCTGCCTCTGTATCTATTATTGTTCAAAAGTTTGTAATGGTCTTTATTATCCATGAATGAGTGAGATCATGTGGTATTTTTCCTTCATTGACTTAAAAATATTTTCAATTTATGGTATTGAAAATGATTAAAATATAGGGATGTTCAAAGAATAAAATAAATAATTCCTTTTACTGTCCAGCCAAACATGCTGCTGTTTATATTTTGCTATATTTATACTGGCAGGTTTTAAAAGATTTATGCATGTAGACATACATTTTAACAAAGGTATAACTATGTAATTATGTATTACATGCCATGATATTTTACATAACCTTGACATTGTCTGAACATTTTTCCATATGATTAAATATTATTGTATGACCTTAGTATATTCCATGACATAGATACACAATAACTTGTTCAATTAATTTTCTCTTTGGGGGAATTTATTTTGTTTCCCTTCCATCCTTTCCTTTTCCTTTATTTTTGTTATTTTATAATGTTGAAATGATTCTCCTTATAAATAAATCTTTGTGCCCATCAATGCATATTTCCCAGTGGAATACAGAGGGTATGCAAATGTTTAAGGATTTTGATTCATTTTGCTCAACTCCTCCTATGATGGCTCCTTGACTTTATACCCTTCCAGCTGTGTATCACCAGTCAGTGTCCCCGATTGTGGTCAGCCCCTTTAAAGCTGACTGCTCCTGTAGATGTTAGTGACATTTTCCATCATGTCAATGTGTAGTCATTTGAAATCACCTGAACATGTTGTGCAAACCTCACAAACCCAGATGATGTCATTCTCTCCTGCCAGTCTGATAATGACTCCTGGACCTGCAAAGCTTTGTTGAACACTTTTTGTCTTATCATCTCCAAATCTGGACTTCTTCCCAAACCTACCTGAGTGCTGTACATCATGCAGGAACTAATGTTGACCCCTGGATATCCGTTTGTTGATTTGGAATATGATGACTTTTTGTCTTATCTGTATTAACCTCTTTTCCTCTGAAACCTTCCTAAATGCTTCTTTTCTTTTTTCCTATGATGCATTTGCTTTCATGTTCTACTCTATGAGGTACCTGTATGTGTGTGTGGATGGAGAGAGAAAGACAGACAGAGAGAGAGAGAGAGAGAGAGAGAGAGAGAGAGAGAGAGAGAGAGAAAGAGTTGTGTTAGTGTAAGTTTATATAGGAAAAGGGGTAAAGATCACCCCTCTTAGGCTTCTCCTAGGGCAGGCACTGTGGAGTCTACTCTCCTGCAGCATTGAGGTCTTCTTATTGCGCATTCAGTGAAAGATAATCAGGATGCATGTGTGTGTGTGTGTTGTGTGATTTTTGGCATTTGGTGTGTTGTGTGTGTGTGTGTGTGTGTGTGTGTGTGTGTGTGTGTGTGTAGGAGTCTACCTGTATGTGTTTCTCTGTTGTGAATGTGTGGGGAGGTGTGTGTGTGCTTGCCTTTCCATGTGTTGTGGCATCAGGAAGGGAGGATGAGTGAGGAACAGATAATCACATTGGAATATGTACAAGCACTATTTCTTTGGAATAATAATAAATAATAGGATAAACTGAACAGAATGAGGGGCTATTTGAGAACAAGGACTCGGAGGCAGAAATGGCTTGAAGCAGGGACCATCTATATTCAGATATGATGCACTCAGGGGCAAAAAGAAAGCCCTGCTCTGGCTGAGGCTGCCCAAAGTAACAGGCTCTGGGTAGCCTTGACTCCTCTTCCATTGGCAGCTCAGGAACATCTGGTGAATACAACAGTCACACATACACATCTGCACGTTCTCAGTGCCTGCATGAGGCCCCTTCTGACATCCGCCCTCCTAACCAGTCCTGCTGTGTGCAGTTCCGACTTCATGTTGAGAGACCAGTGCAAAAAGCTGAGTCAGCCAATGACACACGTAGCCAGTTATATTGTTACAAATGATTTAATGGGGGCAGAGCAGGGAAGAGTCACTTGATTTCTCCTCCCTCCAAAAAATCACTCTTCAGATGAGCCCTGGGCTCAGGAGCCCTCCAAACTGAGTGTGAGGGACATCTTTCTGGAGGGTGCAAAGAGGGAGGGATTATGACTCAGGGTGACAGCATGCGAATGGTAAGTGGGACAAATACACAGAATGGAAGAGGGGATTCAGCATTCAGTGGTTGGTTTTTCAAGGACATGGACCACATTACTTCTGCTTGGTCTGCTGAACTGGTGC